GTGAGAGGGTGTGTGTGTGTGTGTGTGTGTGTGAGAGTGTGTGTGTGTGTGTGTGTGTGAGAGAGTGTGTCTGAGAGTGTGTGTGTGTGTGTGACTGTGTGTATGAGACTGTGTGTGTGTGTGTGTGTGTGTCTGAGAGTGTGTGTGTGTGTGAGAGAGACTGTGTGTGAGAGACTGTGTGTGTGTGTGTGTGTGTGAGACTGTGTGTGTGTGTGAGACTGTGTGTGTGTGTGTGTGTGAGACTGTGTGTGTGTGTGAGACTGTGTGTGTGTGTGTGTGTGAGACTGTGTGTGTGTGTGAGACTGTGTGTGTGTGTGTGTGTGAGACTGTGTGTGTGTGTGAGACTGTGTGTGTGTGTGTGTGTGAGACTGTGTGTGTGTGTGAGACTGTGTGTGTGTGTGTGTGTGAGACTGTGTGTGTGTGTGAGACTGTGTGTGTGTGTGTGTGTGAGACTGTGTGTGTGTGTGAGACTGTGTGTGTGTGTGTGTGTGAGACTGTGTGTGTGTGTGAGACTGTGTGTGTGTGTGTGTGTGAGACTGTGTGTGTGTGTGAGACTGTGTGTGTGTGTGTGTGTGAGACTGTGTGTGTGTGTGAGACTGTGTGTGTGTGTGTGTGTGAGACTGTGTGTGTGTGTGAGACTGTGTGTGTGTGTGTGTGTGAGACTGTGTGTGTGTGTGAGACTGTGTGTGTGTGTGTGTGTGAGACTGTGTGTGTGTGTGAGACTGTGTGTGTGTGTGTGTGTGAGACTGTGTGTGTGTGTGAGACTGTGTGTGTGTGTGTGTGTGAGACTGTGTGTGTGTGTGAGACTGTGTGTGTGTGTGTGTGTGAGACTGTGTGTGTGTGTGAGACTGTGTGTGTGTGTGTGTGTGAGAGACTGTGTGTGTGTGGTACTCATCCATCTTCTCTCTGTGTTCCCATGGCAGCCGGCGACCCCCCGCATCACCTACTCGACCTAACTGACCCACAGACTCCTCCCTCTTAGACTATTAGCCCCTCCCACACCCGTGGCAGACAGCGAGGACAGACAAGCCCACCCAGCCAGAACTCCTCTCCTTCTCCTCCACTCACACACATTAATACACATACACAGTAAAGCCTCACTTGGACAGCACAACAACTCTACAACCCTCTGTCACAAGTTTAACCGTTCATTTCATATCATTTTGTCATCGTCAAACCAAACTTTAGAAGACTTTATTTATTACTGACCTGGCTCCTTATCTTGACTTAGCTCGACAAGAGGAGTTAGATGAATGAGCACAGGGTTTGATAAATGCATTTCTGTTGCCCAATTTATTTCGTTTATGTCGTTTTTAAGCTTCTTTTGGTTCTCAGACGCTTGATTTCCTGCAGTTTATGGATGCATTATCTCTCCAAAGTGTGATCTGGAGTCTCAAGATAACTGCATCTTCTGGAATGAGCTCGTGTGCATCTGTATTTCTGTTCATTACTTTGGCTCTTCTTGTTTTTGTTTCGTATGTGTGTCGGGCTGCAGTGGTCCCTGAGCTCACGGGCCAGAAGACGACACCAGACTCCCCGAAGGGTAATACACTTTTTACTGTATGTAGGCTGAGAAAGTCACTGACAGTAGAGTTGCACACAAAGCATGGACAAAGTTGTTTAAATGTAAACATTAGGCCATTAAGTCAACACGATGCATTAATATGAAATAATCATATCTGTAGTTCACATCAATTTCACAGTATACAGTGGCTGTGAACATATTTGGACGCTTAAGCCACAGTTAAAAGTCTAAATGTCATTTCATTAGAGGTGTTTATGAGGAAAACTCGACTGACTCAAATGAGTCATATGGTTCATAAAATTATTCACTTTTTCGAAGTGCGCACGGGCGACACCTGCTGGTCGAAACGGAGAACATAGTACAAAATATATATGTTTTTTCATGCATACTCTATTAAATATAGTCTGTAAATTATTAAATATTAAGTCTGTGTGTTTTATCATTAATTTATACTCCTTTGTGTGTTTTTAAGACCAGTGTTTGATTGATCAGGCCAATTAGAGACACGTCATCGACACTGATCTTAAATGACTAAACTGACCCTAGATCAGTAAAACATTAGACACTGGTTCATGTGTTCACTGAGATCTTCCGTCGACACTGAATCACACGACTCCGAACCACTGAATCAAATAGAAAGATTCGAATCTTCAAGCGGCAGTGTTTAGAAAGTGCCCATCACTAAAGCAAAACAAACTAGTTTAAATCAGCTCCTATAATCATTAAACACTTGGTTTAACAGTTCAGAGTGTTGTTTACTGCACGGCGGCAGAGAATAATCCAAGTCTTACCTGCTGTCGATACAACAGTGCGACGCTGAAGCACCTCCCGAGACATTTAAACCGGGTTTAAAGTTTGTGTGTGCACCATTGTCTCCTGAGGTAATTCCAATTAAAACAAATAAAATATCAACCAAACATTTCATTTTCACGCTGAAAGCAACACAGAAATCCTCTCTGAGGGCATTTTGAACCGAGCAGCAATAACCGTTAGAGACGCAAATCTTGAAGCGCGAAGACGCGGGAAAGTAGTAGCGACAAAATATTTCTCAAGATCTTAAGTTAAACGTGTTTGTTTAAGGTTACAGTTAATATATTAGTTAAAAGAAAATACCTGATGAGCACTGAATGCCGTGACTGACCAATCAGAATTAAGCATTCTAGACCGAGGGGGAAAAAAACACTCCGACAACAACAACTAATAAAAATAAATAAAATAAAAAATACTTTAATAATAATTGTTTAGTACTATAATGAGTAGAAAAATGAAATAATGTAACAAAACCGAAATATTTGTCAAATAATATTTTGACATTTTATAGTATTCATTTGGGTCTTTATACATGAAAATATATAGTAATATAATATAAAATATATAATACTTAAACAAAAATCTAAATAGAATCAGCTGCTTAATAAGATTCCAAAATAATCTGAAAAGTTTTAAAAAAGAATTTGATTTGATTTTCGTCCAATGATTGACATTTAGACATTTTAGATGCGACTTTAGTGAACAAATGCCACTATATTACATTTGTACTTGATTCTAAACTATTGTGTAGTATTCAAATGTTTCTCATTAATGAAAGAGGTTTGAACACTTCAGCAGGGATCGTGGGGTTTGTCTTCTCTCCGTGTGACTCCGAGGACAGTTTCTGCAGAGCTTTCTTGTGTCTCGATGCTTACTCTTCTGTCTTTTTTCCTTCTCTGCTTTCATGGCTCAGCGGCCCTTCTCGCCCCGAGAGCCCCTTTTCTCCACGCGACCCTTAGCATCCTTTTCTTCTTCTGTTTTCCCCCACATCGAGTTAAACCCACCAGCATTACATCGGACACGAGCAAAGAACACGGAGGAACCTTCCAGATGTTTTGAGAAACCAGTTTCCGTCTTTGGTTAAACCTCCTTCAAGCTCCTTGTGGAGATCCAGAAACCTTCTAGAAACTCCTCACATTGTGACCCGTTAAAAGTGAACAAATGCCACTATATTACATTTGTACTTGATTCTAAACTATTGTGTAGTATTCAAATGTTTCTCATTAATGAAAGAGGTTTGAACACTTCAGCAGGGATCGTGGGGTTTGTCTTCTCTCCGTGTCTCCGAGGACAGTTTCTGCAGAGCTTTCTTGTGTCTCGATGCTTACTCTTCTGTCTTTTTTCCTTCTCTGCTTTCATGGCTCAGCGGCCCTTCTCGCCCCGAGAGCCCCTTTTCTCCACGCGACCCTTAGCATCCTTTTCTTCTTCTGTTTTCCCCCACATCGAGTTAAACCCACCAGCATTACATCGGACACGAGCAAAGAACACGGAGGAACCTTCCAGATGTTTTGAGAAACCAGTTTCCGTCTTTGGTTAAACCTCCTTCAAGCTCCTTGTGGAGATCCAGAAACCTTCTAGAAACTCCTCACATTGTGACCCGTTAAACTAGGGATCGCTCACCCAAAAATTAATGTTTGATGTTCCAACGGTTTCAGGTCCCATTGACTTGCATGGTATGGACAAACAATACTGCGGAAGTCGATGGGACCCAAAACTGTTTGGTTCCCAACATTCTTCAAAACATTGAAATCCTGAAGTTGTTTATTATTTTGCCGTGCAAACGTGCCGATGTAAAAGCTCTCTGGTACGAGGACGTGTGTTCACCCTCAGTGCTTGTGCTCAGAAATCATTCATTCGTTAGTGAATCTGAACCTTCGGTGGGGCTGGATTGAATTAGAGAGTGCAATATATTCACCGGTCAGCCGTATCTACACGCTGACCGCACGTTCATGTCATTTAATACACAAATAGTGCCGTTTTAGGGTGAACAGACGTTCTCGAGTTCGCTGAGACGCTTGTGTGTTTACACTTCATTTAATAAATCGAGACTAATGCTGAAGACTGTTCAGGACGAATGATCACGTTGGGATGGTTGGATGTTTGGAAGTGAATACTTGCTGTACAGTATATACTGTTTACTAACAAATAGCATGTGAAAGTGCACTATTCGATGCTAAACCGTAGTATGCAACATTGTCGACTCATTGCATGTTTAATTCAGCAAGCTGCATTCAGATATTAAGTCATTTTTGCATTTTTAAGTCTGAACAAACTCAAATCTGCAAATGTTTTGGTCGTTAGGGTATTCATACAGAACATGTGCATACTGTGCATAGTGTACATACTATATACTGCAGAAATAGTAACAGTTGTGTGATATTCTGAACATGAAGCTGATTAAAGGTGCTGCAAGTGATTTTTAGTTTCCACCACGTCGATCAAGCCTCTTTTTTGGCATTCAAAATAGTTTAAAGCACCTTTAAACATCACCGATGGACATTTTTTCACGTGTGCATTGAAATTATGCAACGTTATCTGATTTTGTCTGCAATTTAAGGTTCATTACGAAAATCAAGATCTAGCAAAAACGTAAAATATCACTCCAGTTTGTTTTGTTGAAAATATGAGTGCAACCCTCCACAACGGTGGACTGTAATTCTGTTGTTTGTTGTAATAAGTATAAAGATGATAAAGCCCCTGTTGCTAATAGTTGACGTTGTAGCATGACCAGACCGTCTGCGGATTCAACTGTACCGTATCTATAGTGTTTCCGTCCTCAACATTCACTCTGGGTCTTAGTAAAACCCACTAAGCAGAAGAGATTTATGGTTATTTAAGAGTTAAAGCGTTTGTCATGGACATACTGTATCTTAAGTGTTGCGTATCTTTGTGGTGCATTTGCAAATTGTGCTTCTACTGTTTAGAGACTAGTCCACATGTATGATTACTGAATATTTAATTATTATGGGTGATTTATTTAAATTATGCTAATGAAATAGAGTGTGTGGAGGAATAAACCGGGCCTCTTTCTGTGTTTGGACAGAAAGGTGTTACAATACTCCGTGTGTAACGTGTCCTGCTGTGTCTCTGCTTGGACGAGTTTGTCCAGCAGGACTTTGTCATCATTAAAGTTCAGTGTACCAAAATTTTGTTTTTGTGTCACTTTTTGTCTTCAGAGGGTTTAAAAGATGTTTTAGCCGTTTAGAAATAAAATCATGCGTAATTATCACATAAAATGTCTTATGACAGAAGTCAAAACTGACATAAATCAGTATGACAAAAAGGCATGATTAAGATGTCAATTATGAGATGATCAAAATTATGAAATACCAAGTCAAAATTATGAGATGATAAAGTTAGGAGATAAGATCTACCCAGTCATGATTATAAAAAGTCAGTTATGAGATAAAAAAAATAAAATAAATCTGACATAAGGTCATGATTATGAGATGTCATTTATGAGATAAGCAAAAATTCTGACATAAGGTCATGATTATAATATAAAAAGTCATTTATGAGATAAAGTCGTGAGAAGACCTATTAAGCCATAATTATAAGATGGTCATAATTATGAGACAAAAATGCATATTGAGACATGAAAACTCAATTGTGGAATAAAGTCAAAATTATGATACTAGGTCATAATTATGAAAAAAGTAATGACCTACTAAGTCATAATTATAAGATAAATAAAACTCAATTATGACAAAGTTGTAATCATGAGATTAAAAAGTCAAAATTATGACATACTAAATCATAACTATGATAAAAAGTCATGAGATAGACCTACAGAGTCTTAATTATGATAAAAGGTCAAAATTATGACGAAATCATAATTATAAGATTAAAAGGTCATAATTATGTCAGGCCAATTATTGGATAAAAAGTCAAAATGATGACATTAATTAATTGCAATTATGAGATGAAAAGTCAAAACTTTGAAATAAAAAGGCAATTATTGTCATTATTTGACATGCGTCATAAATAGCATGATTTTTTCTCTGGCTGAGGTCATTAAAAGCACGCTGATTAAAACAGCTTTAGCAGTACATTGTCATTACATACAACGAATACTTGAAATCATGCATTGCATTAAAAATGTCAACCTCAAACGTCAGTCTTATGAAAAGAACATGAAATCATGAACTTCAGACATAAAACGCTCTTCATTTTGCTCAATCAGGTTTATTTAGGAGGCAAATCATCACTCGAACTACTCATTATTCCTTCATTGTGTTCCATTAGTCTGAATTAAAACCGATTAGTGTGTAATTATCCCAAATAAATAGAATTCTCCTTTAGTTCAGCCGCAGTATGAAACCACACACACATCCCGTCCTCTCTTCGCACTAGATTCATCCGAGTCTTCAGCAGGCAAACGCAAGCCTTCCTCCAGTCAATATACAGTATGATACACAGTTACACTATTTACACGTCTGTTACATGAACAAGCAAAACAATCAACGTCTGATTAAAGCCCACGCCCAAAACAATCACTGTAAAATATATTCATACATGAACGCAGATAGAGATGATGTGCAATGATGCTTCGGAGTACAGCAGGGTGAAATACTCTGGTACTGCAGCCCAAACACAGTATTCAGATGTAAACTCAATCGACATGCTTCCAGTTATACCCACATACATGAGTCCACTTGAAATCTTCAGCTGTAAATAGATAAAGCAACGCTTTCTATGAAGCCTGTGTAAATATAATGCATTAGAGAGCCATGCACAATGCATTCTACTTCAGAACTGGCTGAATGTTTTTGTAAATAAATCTATGCATACAATTCTAAAGAGCATAATGCATCTAAAACAGCCTTATGCAATGCACAACGCTCTTTAAAGGTGTAGCTGCGGTTATAATTATTTACACAAACATACAAGACACAAAGAAGAGCTTTATCTTCACAGAAAGTGTTGCCAGCGATTGCAAACCCCCGTAACGCTGCTGAACGTATCTCTGTATCTGAGGATGTTTATGGATGAACTCACCATTCAAGCTTTGCTCATGTAAGAGGAATTGTTACAAATCGTTTTCTCTAATATATATATATATATATGTACAGCTCTCACAAACGCTCGATCATTCACTCTACATACGAACAACACTCAAAACTCTCGGCTGACGGTCGCTAGCGTCATAGAGTTAGCCGCAAACAATCGCCAACATCTGGAAAGCTTCGACATCTGGAAAAAACACAAGGTGCTCGAGTGTTTGTAGGGAAGAAATTATAATTGCATCTTTCAATAAATCCCAATTGGAAAAGCAAAAACAACCCGGTTTGTGTCCACTGAACACTCTCGGCTCGGCTCTAACCTAAAGTGTGATGCATGCGTGAATTTATGAATTTATGTTTTAGTTCTGATTCAGTTTCTGCATGTCATTACCTTCTCGATACTCTGCCCCTACATGCTTCATAATCGGGTCCTCTCAGAAAACTCTTCATCATCTTAATCCAGACCTGCTTTATGATATCTTTCAATAAATCCCAATTGGAAAAGCAAAAACAACCCGGTTTGTGTCCACTGAACACTCTCGGCTCGGCTCTAACCTAAAGTGTGATGCATGCGTGAATTTATGAATTTATGTTTTAGTTCTGATTCAGTTTCTGCATGACCTTCTCGACACTCTGCCCCTACATCCTTCATAATCGGGTCCTCTCAGAAAACTCTTCATCATCTTAATCCAGACCTGCTTTATGACATCAATGCTACTCATCGCTGTACCCTAGTTAGTGTGCGAGTTCACTATCCCACCCGGCATGGATCTGAATCATACTGATATGAATCACTGATCTGTCACCTGTCTATTGCACTTATTTGATAAAGTAAAAGAGGACGAATGAATCAGGGAAAAGACACAGAGCAGCGAAAACTGATAACTGGTTTACACACAAACCAAACGGAGCCAAAGAGCTTCAGAATGCATCCGATTTCTCTTATCCACTGAAGAAAGCAGAGAAACCCCATTTAATACGTGTGTGCGTATCGTCAAACGGACACGGAGAGACGGACGCGGTCACACCACCAGGATCTTGACCTCGTCGTGCTCGTCGGGCCGGTAGAAGAACGGGATGCAGGGGTTTTCTCCCAGGAAGGGAGCGGGTCTGGCCTGAGGATTCTGGATCTCCTGCAGGAGCTGCATGATCTGGCGGGCCGTGCCGTCCTCTGTGGGTCTCAGGGGGGCGGATCCAGGCCTCTCTGGACTCTGGGATTGAGTCTGTGGGTCGGTGCCGGACTGAGGCGCTGTAGACGCCTCCACCGCTGTGCTCAGGTCCAGAACGGCTGAGTGAAGAGGAATACTTTAGGAAAACCACACAGAACTCGTATTACTGTAAATAAGATTCTAATATGATGATGCAAAAACGGTCTGTAGATTCGACAACACTCTTGAATTATCAGAGCTACACATTGTTGAATTGAATGCTAGATGCAGGTCATTAACCAAAACACAAATAAAGACTTTATGCATGTGGGACTTTTACAGAAAATGCCACGCATAGATTCTGGGACAATTTTTAAGTGATTAATCAAATAGTTTCATGATTCCCATGCTTTCTGACTAATTAATTTCCACGATTTTTTTCCAGTTGGATTTTTTAAAATAGTATTTCTAGCTGAAAAACTAGTTGAATAGCTGAAAAATCTATATTAACTATAATGTATTGACTTTTCCTTTTATATTTCAAATTAATATATGAAAATAATATTGATGATAACAGTATTTATTATTATTATTATTATTAATTATATAGAAACATTTTAAAAGTGAGCATAAGTAGAAAAATTTATATTTACTATAATTTATTGACTTTTCCTTTTATATTTTAAATTAATATGAAAATTACACTACTATTAATAGTATTAGTTATCCTTATTAATATCATTACTTAAATAGAAATAGTTTAAAACTGAGCATAACTAGAAACATTTAAATTGACTATAGAAATGTCCAAGACTTCTCTATTTATATTTTTAATGTATATATTAAAACAATATAGCTTTTAATATTATTAGGATTATTATTTATTAATACTAGTGCTGGGCAACGATTAATTGTGATAGTATATGTATGTGTACTGTGTGTATATATATATATATATATAAATACACACACACGCATGCATGTATATATTTAAGAAAAATATATTATGTTTATATAAAATATATTTATATATAATATAAATTATATGAATATAAATATATACATGTAAATATTTTCTAAATATATACTGTATGTGTGTGTACTTATATATACATAATAAATATACACAGTACACACACATATACCATGTAAACAAAAACGTTTAATTGCGATTAATCGTTGCCCAGCACTAATTAATACTAATATTAATAATTAAATAGAAATAGTTTAAAACTGAGCATAACTAGAAAAAGAGACGAAATCGACTATAGAAATATCCATGACTTTTCCAGGCCTTCTGAAAGTGGAAGCTCCTGTAGTTGAACTGGTTCACTGAATCGACTCATCTGAACGAACTGAATCAGTGTGACTGTGCTGTTGTACCGGAACCGTCCGTGTGTCCGTCGGCAGGATGAAGGTGTTCTCCTCCGGAGGACAGGAGGCCGGGGTTACTGACGGCACTCGTGTATCTGCTGTACCATTCGTTACGCTCGCCCACCAGACGCATGACCAGATCCTGCAGCTCCGCTAGCTTCGCCTGAACACACACACACACACACACACACACACACACGAGTCAACATCAGGCTGCAGACGTCACTCCATCACTCCATCACACAGCTGCTCCTTGTACCTTCATCTCCTCCTTGTCTTTAGCCAGAATGTTGATGTACTGCTCCTTCTCAAAGTGTCTTTGTTTCATGATGGCTCTCTGGTTCTGATACAGCGCGATGTATTCACCTACACACACACACACACACACACACACACACACAACATTTTTCCTTTCTCTTTGGAGTGTTACAAGCTCTTGGTGCATAAAGAAGATCTGTAAAGTTACAAAGACTAAAGTCTCAAATCCAAAGAGATATTCTTTATAAAAGTTAAGAGTCAGCCACACCTACCTAAAACGGCTCGTTCTAACACGCCCCCACATGTCTACATCACTATGTGAGAAGATTTGCATAATGCCGCCCAAAGGAATTCTGACTTAAATACAAGACTTTGAAAATCATTGATTTACCACAATATTAAGAGCATAACATCTGAAGAGTCTCTAAGTTAATTTACTTTTACCGGGAGCGGTGCTAGGAGTGGGCAAATGTTTTTATTAACATGCCTTGTATACATGAGTTTTCATTAAACTCATTTCTATTAGAAGCGCAGATTTGCTGGTCTCAGTAAAACACTCCAGCCAGCACTTAAACGGCAAGATGCAGCTGCTTCAGGTATCTGTAATTTAATCCTAATTAATCCCAATTTCCATCTGTCAAATTAGGTTTCTGAGCCCTGTCACTGTAAAGCAACACAGCAAATGTAATTTTTTAAATCATAATATATGCATAATATATGTATATATTGTAATAAATATGATCTTTATTTGACCCTCTAATTCTAGCACTCTCTATTCTAATTCTATTCTTTAAACTCTATTTACTAACTGATTGTTTTCTTTAAAAAATATATATATATATTTTCTAATAATTTTGTATTCTATCTATTTGTTTTCTTTTTATTTATTTTACAACAAAAGCAAAAAAAGGTGTTTATGTAATAAATAAGTAAATAATAATTTTAAAGTAGAAATATATTACTGTTGTAATATAATTGCACTGTACAATAAAAAGTATATTATTTTACTATAATTATTCAATTATGGACTATTATAGACTAATAATGATTAAATTATGTTATTTTACAATAGTAGATAAGGATTTAAGGATTGTAGCAGGATTTAATTATTAATTACTTGTAATTTAAATGTCTTCATTTGCAAGAGTTAAACCCTTGATTCAAAATATTAATAAAACTAATATTATCAATGATTTGAAACAATTTGTATCATGAAAAGCATTATGCAAGTAAACGTGAATTGATACTAAAATACAGATTCAGCAAAGAACAAACTATTTTCTTGAAGTCCCCCTGAGATTTTAAGTTGTAATTATAATCACAACATGTTTGCGGTTCTCTGATGTTGGTTAATGGACACATGACATGCAAGTTTTTACAAAATTATTAATTAATAATTAATTATTTTGACTTTTGTAACTGGATTTAATAATTAAAAATGACTTAATTTATTCACTTGCAAAAGTTAATCTCTTGAGCTTTTATTTTGCAAATGTGAAAAACCGGTGCACGCTGCGTTCCCGAATGCACATTAAATTCACCTCGTTTACTGTGTTCAGAGACGCTGAAAACACAGGATCATGAGCCGATTGAGTGCAAAAACAACTTAACAGCAAAACAACAGACTTTAATTCAAATGCACACTCCGGTGTGCGTCAACTTGAAATCAGAGGGAAGAGAGAGCAAGAGAACGCAGCTGGAAAATAAATTGCATTAAAAAATCGATATGCATTAAAAAAGAAATCTATATTTTTGCGACCACCAGTGTGTTTAACTCTTTCCTTATTTGACCCTCTAATTCTAGCACTCTCTATTCTAATTCTATTCTTTAAACTCTATTTACTAACTGATTGTTTTCTTAAAAAAAACAAAAAAAAACACTAGCTTCTCTAATAATTTTGTATTCTATCTATTTGTTTTTTTTTTATTTATTATACAACTAACAAAAGCAAAAAAAGGTGTTTATGTAATAAATAAATAAATAAACAATAATTTTAAAGTAGAAATATATTACTGTTGTAATATAATTGCACTCTACAATAAAAAGTATATTATTTTACTATAATTATTCAATTATGGACTATTATGGACTAATAATGATTAAATTGTGTTACTTTAAACAGTAAATAATTATTATTTGTACTTTTGTAGCAGGATTTAATTATTAATTACTTGTAATTTAAATGTCTTCATTTGCAAGAGTTAAACCCTTGATTCAAAATATTAATAAAACTAATATTATCTCAATGATTTTAAACAATTTGTATCGTGAAAAGCATTATGCAAGTAAACGTGAATTGATTCTAAAATACAGATTCAGCAAAGAACAAACTATTTTCTTGAAGTCCCCCTGAGATTTTAAGTTGTAATTATAATAACAACATGTTTGCGGTTCTCTGATGTTGGTTAATGGTCACATGACATGCAAGTTTTTTTTTTTTTACAAAATTAATTCATTTTGACTTTTGCAACTGGATTTAATAATTAAAAATGACTTAATTTATTCACTTGCAAAAGTTAAACTCTTGAGCTTTTATTTTGCAAATGTGAAAAACCGGTGCACGCTGCATTCCCGAAGGCACATTAAATTCACCTCGTTTACCGTGTTCAGAGACGCTGAAAACACAGGATCATGAGCCGATTGAGTGCAAAAACAACTTAACAGCAAAACAACAGACTTTAATTCAAATGCACACTCCGGTGTGCGTCAACTTGAAATCATAGGGAAGAGAGAGCAAGAGAGCGCAGCTGGAAAATAAATTGCATTAAAAAATCGATATGCATTAAAAAAGAAATCTATATTTTTGCGACCACCAGTGTGTTTAACTCTTTCCTCACCAGTATTTTTGAAAAAAAGTTGCCAGCCACCGCCAGCGATTTTGATGATTTTCACTCAAATCTGATGTCCTTAAACATGAATATGCATTAAACCAAAATAAAGATCAGAGCCTCTACTTTTAAACAAAAAAATCAGTTTTATTCCAGCTTAAAGCATTCTTTTTTTATCAACACTCGAATATAGGTAGGTTTCATAAAAATGCATAATTTTGAGCAAAATGGTGAGAAAATCAAATTTTTATCAAAAACTATATCTGGATAATATTCAGTACGATTATCAACTGATCCCTGTGCTCCTGCACAGACGCCAGCTCTCCGCACTTCTCCTGCAGCTGATGAGAGGAAGAGCGGAGAGTCGGGTTAGGAGCGCAGAGACTACAGCTGCGCAACCATCAGTATGCAGGGATTCCCAGAGACGGTCTTCGTTTGCAGGACTTTTAACTATTAAATATCCCTGAAGTCCAAATGAAGGTGTGCAATGAATGCTGCTCCTTTTCCTTGGAAGTTGGTACCAGTAAATGATTTCAGGGGAGTTTTAAATGATTCGGCTGATTGTAGCCGTTTAGACTGATAATTTATGAGATGAATGTGATGTAAAAACTTTGCTAATTCCTAAATTCAAGCTTTTTTCCCCGTTTAAATAAAGAATAAATGGAAAATTTGCAGACTTTTTTGTCAGCTGAATCCCTTTAAGCTAAAATATTTACTTGAAATCTCCCTGAAATGTAAAGTTAATATTTCAATAACTAGGGATGCACGATATATCGGGCACCACATCGGCAGATAAATGTAAATTTTTCTGTTATCATTATCGAACTGATAAGAGAATTTGGCCGATTTATTATAAAAATTTATATAAATTTTTCGGCCAACATATCGGTTATCGGCTTTCATATTTAAAGAAATATCGTATCGGCCTAAATTTTCATATCGGTGCATCCCTATCAATAACTTAAGACATTCACATGGTGACAAATAATATTAATTTAATATTTTATAAAAAATATTTCATAATTAAGTTATTGTTTTGTTCATCACAGAAATAAATTATATTTTAAAGGATATTAAAATAGAAACCATTATTTTATATTGTAATAACATTTAGCAAGATTACTGTTTTTTTCTGTATTTTTGATCAAATAAATGCAGCCTTGATGAGCAGAAGAGACATTACAAGCTCAAACTTTTGAGCGGTAGTGTAGGTCATCTGTCACTGGAGCTCACCAGCTTGACGAAGCCGTTCTGCAGCTCGGCCAGCTGGTTTTTGAGGTCTCGGTTCTGGGCCAGGGCTCTGCTGATGGTGGCCTTGTCGCTCTGGACGTCCTCCAGAATCTGCAGTCGATCCTGAGCCTCTTCAGCGGCGCGTTCTGCGTGTCTCTCCAGTTCTTCCAGCCTCACTTCCTGTTCCTGCACCAGTCGGCTCAGCTGCTCGTTGTCTCGCACCTTCAGGACACAACAGAGCGTGCAAATTAGTGTCTGATCTAATAACTCCTGACATGCTAGGGTTTCACTGGCAATATCAAATTAAGCAACACTGTGAATATTGTGTCATGTTCACATAATGTGGCACTTTTTAGACCAGAGTATTTTCTTAAACGTATAAAGTCATTCCAAAGCAAACACATGAATACTGAGATTTACTGAAAGCCCTGATATAACATTTTTATTAAAACTTTTTTTTTTTACACTTATATCACTTGCACAGGTCTTAAATGTCTCCGTGCTGCATCTCAACACATACGCACACATTTCTAACAAAGCTTACACTTCCAGTATTTATTTCAAATGCATGGCTAAAAGTTAAGGTTAAAAATAGATGCAGATTAACAGCCTCGGCTATAAAATAGCTTAAGATGACTTAAAATGAGACAAAACAACAAAAAAAATCTTATCTTATATTAAATATATTATGTTAATTTACTCCCAACAACTGTTTTTTTATCTAGAAAAATCAGGATATATGAGGAAGTCATTTAAAAGATGGATAAATAATTATATATATATTTTTATTAATATGTATTTTTCTAGTTATGCCAAGCTTTTCTAGTTGAGTAGAAACTGTGTGTGCATTTTTATTTTATTTTGTTTATTTATTTTTCTTAACCTTAATCCTTATCCAGTAAACCAACTGTAAAACCAACTTAAAATAAGTTTAAAAAACAAAACTAGGGCCAGGGGATTATTATGGAGAATGAAGAGGCCTTGGAATCAAAAAGGCTGGTCTAATGCGTTTAAAAATATTTAGTAATCCAAATATACTGCAGTAAGAATGCACATACTGCATGATCTAGTACAGGGGTGGCAAACGTCGGTCCTGGAGAGCCGCAGCCCTGCAGAGTTTTGCTTCAACCCTAATCAAACACACCTGAACAAGCTAATCAAGGTCTGAAGGGTTATTAGGAAGCTACAGGCAGGTGAGTTTTAATTAGGGTTGGAGTTGAACTCTCCAGGACTGGAGTTCGCCACCCCTGATCTAGTATCTTCACTTGTAAATTTAGAAAAACACGAGTCAGTTGTGCAGTTTTTAAGACCAAATGCACTGCAGTATAAATGCGTGTGCGTCACATGGTCAGTGTTGGTCACCTGTGCTTGGTACTGCAGACTGAGAGCGTCTCTCTCCTGCTGAAGGCTGCTGATGGTTTCCTGAAGGGCCAGTTCACTTTCTGAAGGGCCTGAGGCCTGTGACACGGCCTGCGGCTCCTGCTCTTTACTCATCAGAACTGCGGACACAAGACAAACCTGTCATGCTCCTGTCTGAAGACTGAAAGGCCAGAAACATACTCAAGCTGGCAGAGACAGGAGTATTTTTGTAGAGTATGTTTAGGTTATTTCCTCACTACAAACCTGAATGTTTTTGGCAGGTGGGGGAAAAGGCACTTTATTGTGTCATGATCACAGAGAATAGGACGTAAAGGGTGTGTATGTCTCGTCTCATACCTGCAGCATTCTCCAGCTCTGTGATTTTCTCCTGCAGGTCCTGAATCTGAGCAGCAGTGCTGTCACGCTCCTCTGACATCAGACGCACCCACACACACACACACACACACACACACACCCACTCACTCTCACACCCACACACACACACACAGACAGACACAGACACACACACACAGACACAGAGACACACACACAGAGACACAGAGACACACACAGACACACAGAGACACAGACAGACACACACAGACAGACACAGACACACAGACACAGAGACACACACAGACAGACACGGTTATTAGGACACAGACACACACACACAGACACAGAGACACACACACACAGAGACACACACAGAGACACAGAGACACACACAGACACAGACAGACACACACAGACACACACACACAGAGACACACAGACACAGACAGACACAGACAGACAGACACACACAGAGACACACACACAGAGACACAGAGACACACACACACACACAGAGACACACACAGAGACACAGACAGACACACACAGACACACAGACACAGAGACACACAGACAGACACAGACACACACAGACAGACAGACACACACACA